TGGGTTTCATGGGTGGTATGGGTGTCATGGGTGGTATGGGTGTCTTTGGTGTCATGGGTAGCATGGGTTTCATGGGTGGTATGGGTGTCATGGGTAGCATGGGTGGTATGGGTGTCATGAGTGGTATGGGTGTCATGGGTGGTATGGGAGTCATGGGTGGCATGAGTAGCATGGGTGACATGGGTGTCATGGGTGGTATGGGTGTCATGGGTGGATGGGTGTCACTGGTGTCATGGGTGCCATGGGCAGTATGGGCGTCATGGGTGTCATAAGTGTCATGGGTGTCATGGGTGTCATGGGTGGCATGTTTGAGTCCCAACTGAGCCACATGTGTGAGTTGAATTTGTTAGATGCGTCATTTTTTCCCTTGTCACAGGGGTTTTTTCTCCAGGTTCTTCCATTTTCCTTCTTCCAAAAAAAATCAAAATCTGAGTTGTGTGTTGTATGTTGTAAACATAAAATGTACAGAACAATCAAATCAAAATTTAGAGTGATGAATCAATGCTGAGTCCATGAATCAAACCCGAGACTCCAGAGGTAACAGCAAGTGCAAATCCAGGGGGGCAAAGGGGGGCTGAAGCCCCCCTTAAGCAGAAAAAAAAACCCTGAAGAATTAGATGCTTTTTTTTTATTGTTTTCCGTTGTGTTGACAGAAGAAACTCCATTAGCCCCCCCCCCCCCTTAAAATTTTGGCTGGATCAGCCCTTGAAGAGGTGAGTGAACTACTGCTACATCACCCTTGATTCTTTGTTTATACTTTGTCAAAATTTAGATGACCACATCACAGCGATTTATAGGTTACCTGAGTGGTTGGACATTCATCCATTACAGCTGTAAGATCAAGCACGTTTTTCCTTTCAGGTGAGTCTGAGCTACAAGTTGAGGTAAAGTAAAACAAACACATTCGTTAGACCATTTAAGTAAGCCAGTAGTTATCGTAATGGCAATAATCATCTTTTTCCTTTAGGCATACTTCTGGCCTTAGATAGAGAGCTTCTGTCTGAATAGCGCGAGGAATCTGGTCTCCAGAACAGCACGTTTTGGATTGGTGAAGGGGGGCTCATATTATAAAAAAACTCTTCCCAATGGTGAATTTTATATCAAATAGAAAATAAGCAAATAAATCTTAAAATGCGGCAAAATTGTTGGTGGGGCCCCTCAGCCTCCTAGCTCTGGGGTCCCTGGAAATGCACTCTAACTAAGCACCTTATTCTCAAGAGAATGACATGAGGTATGAAATAGGAACACTTTACGCCAAAGGTAAAACTTAGAGTCTTACCTTGAGCCTCCTACCAGGTTCTTTAATGCTCTCAGTGCTCTGTTCTTGACTTCCTCATTAGTAGTTTTAAGATACAGATGTACAAATATAGTGAGCCCATGGCAATCTGCTGTACGGCTGCGGTTAATAACAGTAGCCACCATGATATTTTGTAAAGTACCAAGGGCTAATAGTAAAACATCATCTTCTTCTTCGTACTGTAAACAAATATCTGGAGAGAGAAAAGATCATAAAAGAGAAGTGCATTTGGTGCTCATTAATTCACCTTTTCGGTGCAAGCCGTCACGTGGTATAAAATTGTTTTGAATTGTGGTACGGTCACCAAAACGTTCGGACATTGTTCTCGAATTTTCGTACAAATGTACTGACTCTAAATGAACTATTTACTTGGTTCAAGAGAATATGAACTAAGAGAAGGAATCCCTCCTATATAGCTTTGTAACCATCATGTGCACAGTTTGGTGCTATTTTTAAACCATTTGTATTTCTGCACGTGCATTTACTGCGCGTGCTGTACGCTGTTTGGGGGATTTTTCAGTTATTTCGACTCTGCCCTGGATATGAATGTGCACGTCGAAAGCTTGGCAAATACGACAGAAAATTGAAGTAGTAATTTGTTCAACTTTCTGGAGTATTTTTACATTTATTTTCCAAAGCTTTCTACCTACATCGTCATCTTGAGGGCAGATTTGAATATCTTGTACAAGAAAACGTTAGCAAACAGTGTAGAACACGCGCGTACTATGCGCGTGCAGAAAATCAAATGATCAAATAAATGATATCATTGGATATTTTTAGAATAGATTCTAAAAATAGCATCAAAGTGTGCACATGATGGGGCACGGGGATTCCTTCTCTTAGTTCATATTCTCTTGCTTGGTTTGTTTGGTTAGTTCTCTAAATAGTAAGAAATCATTTTTCTAACTTGATTGAAGATTTTCTTACAGGTGTTAAGAGAGCTAACTAAAGAAATCTACCTAAATGTTCTCTTTGAAGTCAGTGAATTTGTATGGAAATCTTTTTGGTGACTGTAACACAATCCAAGCTAGTGCCAAAAAGGTGAATTGGTCATCTCTTATCTGTGGGCTGATAATGCATGACTAAGTCAATGCATGGCTAACTCTCCAATTGAATTGGAACTTAGCTTGTTGGGTTTGCAGAGGGAGAAAAAAAAAACAGAGAAAACTCTGTAATCAAGGGAGGTGCCTAACAAACTACTGTATACAACCATATGATGTAGAGTCTAGGGAAAAAATCTCAAAGCCCAGAGGTGAGAGAAGATGGTTCTATCATTACACATCCTTGATTATTCCAGATACCTAGAATTTGACTAAGTAAGGGTCAGAGAAACAGAAGAAGAGAATATAACTCACCCATAAGAATCTTTACACCCCCAAGATATCCAATCCTAGCTCTGTAGCGAAAGTCAAGAGAAATGTTCATCAAGGCACCCAAAACTTGGATAAGAATCTTCTTGTTAGGAATAGAACACAGCTGAAGGAAAACAGAAAATTGATTCTGAGAAGAAGCAAACTGCTAAACAGCAACAGTTTTATTCATTTTGACACGAGTTTACTGGACAGTTCAGATTATCAAAAAGACCTCTACTTTCTGAGGGAGTAATGTTTTCCAATTTCAGACAAATCATCATTCCCTAGAGTATCATTTCCTTATTTGAACATGGAATATGGTTTGTTGCTAACCTCCTAAAACAAGGACAATGTATATGTTAAGTGTATGCTACATCGAGTGTATAAGCAGATTAAAAAATCTGCCTCAGTTGGGTTCTCACGGGACTGCTTATACACTTGATGTAGCATACACTTAACATGTAGATCTTTACTGAGTGACCAAACATCATTTCATAAGGGCGATGTAGTTGCACTAATTACCTTTAGTAGAGCTTCAATTCCACTAGACATGAAGATGTATGATATATAATCCTCGTTGGACTCACTGAGATTTCTTAAGGCACCTTAAACAAAGATATAATTATATCAGACATTTAAAATTACTATTCCTAAGCATAATAAAACAATTCACCTGTTTATCAATTACTAAAAGCAAAAATCAATACCTAGAAAATTTGAGAGTTCCAGTAAATGTCTATTGAATATCAAAGTGTTTGTTTCATTCAAGAATTGCATTCTTTACTTTATTTATGAATCATTTGATGCTGCAATTTTATTTGGTATTTCATTATTGGAGCTCTAAAAAAGATTTTCTGGCCCTCTGGTCCCCTCCTCCCTCCCCACCCCCCCTCTCAAACTATCCTTATACTTGTAAACTAATTGAAACTGGTTAACTGGTTAAAGCTGTATTCTGGGGACTCATACATAGACTGTAAAGTGGCTGCCATATCCCCTTTCATATTGCCTTCAGTTTGACCCCCTTAAGCTGTGACACTGTGCAGTGGTGAATAAAGATAGCTCTGACTAATGATAACCCTGAATAACAAGTCTGTAATCAAAAATATATCAATTTGGTAATATTTTATGGGTTTTGCCCAACCTGCAGCATATTCTAATATGGCAGCATGTTTGGGCTTGGCTTGCACTCCAGATAATGTACACAAAGAAACCTGAAATAAAAGGAGAGTTTGTACATAAATTAATTAATGGGATGTGAAGATATTTTCACTTGTTTACCATCAATTTAAATATCAATTATACAGCTTCTCATTAATCCCATATAGAAATAATGACATAAAAGCATGAACTCACAGCCAACCAGAAAGAAAGATTTATAACAGTTGTTTTATAAGATATAAATATAATGCTGTGTACCTGTGGTGGAAGACTATCTGGATCTCTTGGTAAAATAAAGAGTGACATTCCAGGAACAACATTAGTAAATCCAAAGTCCACAGCAAAAACCTTTGCCTTCAGGCCTTCATCCGATGATGATACATCCAAGACACGTGCCCTGTATGTGGTTTTCTGACTGGCCATGGTCTCTAGTACGCACACCATGTCCCCCGGCTGAGGCATGTCAGGATAAGGGGCCAACTCCTGTTGATGCAAGACATGCGAGTATTAAGCTTTCTTCAAGCAAACTTATTCTTTAACAGTTGATTCTTTAGTGATCATCCACCTTGGGTTCAGGAGTGAGTAGTCGGGATGGAGGTGCTCACTTACAAGAACCTTCACCACAGGAAGCCCAAACCTTCCATATTTTATATTGCTGTTATTGTTACAGTTTGCACATCTGTATTCTTTGCTGTTGTCAATCAAACATAATTAGTCGCAAACTTTTACCTTTTTGACTGGCAGCAGTGAGAAAACCAATCAAAATAGAACTGGCAACTCGCAAGTACTAAGTTTGCATGGAATGGAAAATAGACCTCTTAGTATGGAATTCCAAATTACTTCTGTGTTCCTTGATTACAGACTCATTTACTCAGGCTTAGCCACGAATCAGTGTCTAAATATTCATAAATACTAATGGAAAAGAAAATAATGCAAAAATTCAATAGCACAAACACTTTGAAATTCCGCGGACATTCACTGGAACGCATGAATATTCTGTACAAAGCTAACCCTGAGCAACAGAGAATCCTGTAGTGAAGAATATACACGATTAAGCCGTGAAAGTAGGCTTTATTCAAGTAAACCATGTGCTTACACAAACATGGCCGTCGTTACAAAACGTGAGATTCCGCTGACCTAAGGCAGGCACTTACACAGGTAACCCAACAACTAGTAATTACTAAAGAGTGTTTTTGTTAATGTTTGGTACATTAATCACTATTATCAGTACAAATCCCAAACTAAAGTAATGCTGTAAGGTAACATTTAGCATTTCATCATACCTGGGATCTAAGGAATGTGTCAATAGCTGTAATGCTTTTCCCAATGGAGTCTCCACCGATATGAGCCCAGAAGTGACCAGCATCAATTACTTGAGACAGCCTAATGTCACTCCACACAATACCTTTTGTCTGGATATAAAGATTAAAATTACAGTGAGGACACATGAACCACATAGGCAGTGGCTAACAAACCTGTGGCCCTCATTCCATGATCGAATTGGAATTTAGGAGTTGATTTTTGCGGAGGGAGGAAAACCGGAGAACCCAGAAAACCCTCGAAGCACAGGAGAGAACCAACAAACAACTATACTCATATGCAACACCGAACCCAGTGGGACTCGTACTCGGGTCACATTGATGAGAGGCGAGCGCTACTTTAAGTTTTTTTTACCTTTCTACTGTATGAAAACCTTTTAAATTTCAAATACACTGAGTGATCAAAATCAGGGCTTAAAATAACAGTTGGACATCAGACAATGTCTGCCCAGAATTGAAACTTGTCTGGCCGAATCTTTGCCTTGCCAAGACAGGTCAAAATAACTGGCAAGGCAAAAATTTGACGGACAACTGTCCGTTATCTTTAAATCTGTCATCATCACTATCATTCTCCTCATTCATCAACAACATAATTTTTAAATCTTCAGTAAAATGCACATTCTTGCTAAAGGTCAATAACGTTTAATGCTTACCTCCTTCTGAGGACTGTTTCGTTCTTCACTGGGTAGGATACTAGTACTATTAAGGTCGGGCCAGGCCATACCTCTAGTTATTAATTCATTACTTATGTGAATATCTTTTTCTGTAATAGTGTCGTACAGATCTATGTTGTAAATCTTGTTGAGTTCTTCGCGTAAACAATCTATCTCAGCTTCTAGAGAATCAATGGAATATTCTGTATGTAGTTATAAGGCATGCTGGGATTCACAGGGAGAAGGATGTATTGTGCCTTACAGTATCTTTTAATAAAAGTCATGTGATAATGATAATGGTAATAATGATTATGATTTAAATGATTTTTTCCCATGAGGGCAGGAATATCACAACAGCATATCCAATATTGGGCCCTGTAGCATTAGCACGGGCACTGAAGTTGATCATCACCAGAGTCTTCAGTGGGTCTTATATGTCTGCCTTATACAGGGCTATATAGCGAAGACAGACGGGGCCTACGGTTTCAAGTCTTTGTCTGAGAATACTTGAAGTTCTAACTATTTGCAGATATAATTACAAAGGCAACACCTTCTCCTCAGTTATATTAAGACCCTGAGTGTTGGTCCGGCCAAGGCTTGAACCACAACCTCCCACACAACAAACTGACGCTCTTACCAACTGAGCTAACCAGGTAGTGATAATATTAGAATGAAAATAACAATAAATAGGATGTAGGATGCTAAGAATAAATGAAAATTTAACAGCATATAACCATTATGTATGAATGCAACTAGAATATAACTGATATCTCTCTATAACTATGTCAGTCGTCCAATATTATTCTCTTTCACCTCAGCATGGCTACAAAGAAGGAAGAATATGAACATACCTGATTGTATGAGATTTTGAATTACTTTTGTGCTCTCTTCTTTACTTAGCTCATGAACTTTTCCAATAAGTTTCTTATTAACAGTCAGGTCAGTAAAAAGCTTGTTTGCTTTGTCACTGTACTGGGAGGGCACATGACAACAGTTGCTATGGGAACCAGTAGGATTAAATACATCACAGAGTTGAATCAAGCGACGAATGGCACCAGCAGTGACGAGATCTGCCTGGCATATTTCATCTTTGTAGGTGAGTTTCTGTAATAATGCTGCAGACTGCTCGTGGGACAATAGCCTACTTTCTTTTTCTCTAGTGTTGATATCTGAAACACCATGATCAAATACACTGTATTATAATATGACACGCATCTTTGGCTTGGGCATAATATTAACGTTTACCCATTACAAACCATGTATCATTCCGTTGAGAATGATATTTTTTGCTTGAGTCATTTCCAAATAGAGTACTCAAAAGATGACTTCACAAAAATTGATTTTTGCTTGATCATATTTTTGGTTAACAATTTCGATAGACAATCAGAAAAGACGTTTAAACACCAAATTTAACGAGAATGGGAAAAATATCAGCTGAGATATGGTCTTTTAATTATATAATAACTCCATACAAATCACTGTATTTTCAGAAAACGTTTTGAACTAAGCCGAAAATACAGTGACTTATATTTGATAATTATATTTCCCCATTGTTCATGCATCAGCTGATATTTGACCAATCTTCGTCAAATTTGGTATGCAAATGTTTTGTTTTTGATTGTCTGTACAAATTAGAGATTGAAAAACATTAAAGTCAAAATTAATTTTTTCATGACGTCACACTTGAGAACTCTATTCATGTGTCTTCTCATGTACAACCATTAAACAAACAAATGATACTCTAGAGAATGACAGGTGGTCTGAAATAGGAAAACATTATGCCCAAGCAAAAGAGGTCTATTGCTGGTTTTCAATCATTCCCAAGAGAATGTAATTACAAAAGACATGGCGGCCATGTTGGATGATATAACAAAAGACACGACGGCCATGTTGGATGAAATAACGAAAGAGACTAATGACAAATCTTTTGTTAAATTCATCCAACATGGCGGCCGTGAAAACCATCAATTGCTTTTTGGAGTATAAATCATGTACCACTCTGTGCTTTTGATCATATTTAACATGTTAATTTGCTCATTATAAATAATAATAAATATTATTATTATTATTACCAAGGGTTCTATCATCTTGTTCTATGCTAAGAACATGCTGCTTTTCATTTTTCAAGCACAAATCTTACCAGTATTACTGCCGTCTTCCACTGTGCTACATAACGACAGAATAGTCCTCAGCCCACCAATATTCATGATCATATCTTTTGCAGGTTGATTTCCATGGCATAGTACACCCATGGTTGCCAAGGCAAATGCTTTAATTTCTCGGCTTTTCTTTGATCTACACAGCTCTGTGAAAAAAATAATTTTGAGAACTGAACTTACCATCCTTGACAGGGGCGGATCAAGGAATTTGTTCAGGGAGGGGTGCAGAACACATAGTTAACCCAGGGAGGGGTGCACCCCTTAGAATCAAAGGAAAAAAACATTATTTCGTATTGGTTAAATCTTTAAAGTAGGGGCGCAAAGTCCAACCAGAGAGGGGTGTGTAACCCTTGCACCCCTCTTCCGAATCCGCCACTGCTTGAACCCTATCTCCCTAACCCTTGAAATTTCCAGTCCTGCTCCATAGCGCTTTGAGGAGGTATGGATATTTTCTGCAACTACACAATATTCTTAACCATTCTCAGACCCTCCCCACCCCTTGGAAATTCCAATCCCCCTCCATTAGGGAGGTATGGATATTTTCTGGAACTACATACTATATTCTGCTTAAAATGATAAACTTTTTAAAACTTAATCTTTAAAAAGGACTTACCCGAAAGAAGATCAATGGTCCCTTCTCGTACGAACTCATTCTTCTTTTCTGGGTTGCGTAGACTCTCTTGGATCACTTTAGTCAAAGCTATCTTTGTCTGTCTGTCGCTCTCGTCTTTCATATCGCTTCTTCAAAACCACATAAAGACGAAAACCCAGGCTTGAAGCGCAGACAAATTAAGCAATGAAATAAAAGATTTAGTATTTTCAGCTAAAATTCTTAGAATGGTGTCATAAAAATGAAAACAAGAACCCAAGATGGAAAAAGTGTCACAAATGTTGAAGCACGTGGAAAATATTTGTTTTCAATTTAACTAAGCCAGCGGTTTTCACCATTCGTACCACAGGAGGCCCAAAAACGATATTTTAAAACTCATAGAATTTGCTTCAAATCGTGTACAGGAAGAAAACACACGTAAATACACATGAAAAAAAAAATAGCTTACTTATCCGAAAATTACTTTAAAGATTCTCTAAATATAAAAATCCACTCAAATTTACAAGCAATCCAAAGTACTTTGCATGGGCTTCCTGTTTAGCAATGCAACCACTGGTTTGTCTACATAGCAGGCTCAAGGAGGTAGCCCATAATGCTTCGCACAAAAGCTTCTTCTTTCTTTCCAAAATCTTCGTGAAATAAGGTGTAGAGTTCTCACTGAGCTAAGGCCTTAAAATCCGTTTACATCCTTGTAAGCAAGGCAACCTACATCGAGTTTCCCAACCATCCTGAAAGAAAAAGCATAGTTTTACATTATGGCATCAAAATCTGAACTCGCTTGTGTGTACAGTGCCCTTATTTTACACGATGACGATGTCGATATCACCGTAAGTCTTTACTAATAAACGTGTTTCAAGTTTTTACTTTTTTTTCTTCGGAATTTCTTGTTCTAAGCTGAACTACATTTTCAGAAATTTAGAGATTGGAGTTACATTAAAGGAACTCGAGTCGAAAAAAGATTCTTTACGTTTTTGCTGAAACATTTAGCATGRGCAAGCAAAAGTAAATTTGGAAATCATTTTCAAAGTGTTGCTATTCTTGTCCCTATTCTATAATTTTGTATTTTAACTCCTTTGTTCCCATTTCGATATTATTTATTCATTCACTTATCATTCATTCAATTTTCATATCTATARTACACTCTACAAAATTACTAGAGTCTGATTGGACAAGAGGAGTACGATTAAATCCCAAATTTTACTCTGTAGAGTCCCAATTAAGTTTCTTAATTTTTTTTGAGTGTATTATAAACAAAAAATCGCACAATCTTCTCGTACAATTTGGAATTTAWAGATACGAATTTTTAAAACTTTCAAAACATCAGTCGTACCTATAAATTCTGAATTGTACTYGAGATTGCGAGATCTCCTATACTAATTGGGCTTTATATATATTTATATATAGGCTGAGAAGATCAGCAAGCTCATCAAAGCAGCCAATGTAGAAGTAGAATCCTTCTGGCCYGGTCTCTTTGCTAAGGCACTAGAGGGTCACAACATCATGGATCTCATTGCTAGCGCTGGTGCTCCTGGTAGTGGTGSTGCTGCCCCTGCTGCTGGTGGTGCTGCTGCCGGTGGAGAAGCTGCTGAAGAAAAGAAAGAGGAGAAGAAGAAGGAAGAATCTGAGGAAGAATCTGATGATGATATGGGCTTTGGTAAGCATATTATCTRACATTAAACAATTACATTATGATGCTGAGCAATATGAATTACTTGTCAGAAACTCAAGGGGTTGTTGCAGCCATACATTTCTTTTGAAAGATGCTCTGAAACAGTCAACTTTTTTCTTGACAAATTTCTTTCCAGTAATTCAACTCCCTTAGGAGTTTCTGTATTTACCCCCATATAGTGTTGCACGGCAATGTTTTTGTTTGGAGCAAACAGTAGTAGGAACATMATTACCCTTAAACAGATTTCACCACTGTTTTCATTGAGACATGAGTCGCTAAAGGTTAATGGGAARTAGACAGCCATCAATCAAATAAGTCATTAAAGTACATAAGGCTAAATGGGAATTGCCCTATTTCACTATGATGTCACATCAAAGCAATCTATTGTTTAAATGCAAAGGATCATGGTCGTCGGAGGGGGTCAAATCAACGCAAATTCACTGAAAATTGTCCTAAAACCCGTATCAATCCACGAAGAGAAGTAGAATAGCCAGCAAACGCTCAGACTATTTTTAAATACATATTAACACATATTATATCTGAAAATCAGGCCATTTTAGATTAAACTGTTTCGCTAGGAGCAAATTTTGTTGAATATTCTATTGAATATTCTATTGGATTTGGTGATTCTATCTCCCACATAAACAAGCAGTGACGTCATAGTGAAATAGGGCAATTGTCGGAAGGTACTTGGCAAGAATTTATTTGATTGATGGTAATCTGTTGTTGATAAACTCATTGATGAAGTCATGATGACCCCATGGCTACTAAGATTAGAGAGAAATGTCTGTATTTTCACTCATTCTCTAGTATAGAAAACCCCCAGATTCGCATGAACATTACTTTGGCATGTATTTAATATTTAATTTGACATCAACTAAACATTTATCTAAGTTACCGTATTAGATAAATTTATCTACCTTTTCAACAGTGTGACTAAATGCAATAAATTAATGCAATAAACTGTAATATTGCAAAGAACTTGGCTATGATGATTAACCACCTCTGACATATGAGAATCACATGATTCCACTGTCCTTTAYTTCTGAGCCAGTTTCCTTGTTTTAGTTACTTCAATATACCTGCTTTCTTCTTCATCATTGAATAATCATTTATCCATCTTTTTGTTCCAGGTCTCTTTGACTAGACATCAACCATCAATCAAGAATAATATCAATAAAAAATGTTCAGTTAGATCATTGCCGTGTCTTTTATGTGTTACACCTCTAAAATATAAAAACTTCTATTATACAACTACCACTTCCCCTACTGGGCTCTTCCGTGAGGTTCCCTTCCCACGCACTACATTTTATATTTACAACATACAATGCTCAAATCACATGTTGATTTTTATGAAGGGAGAAAACTGGAGAACCCAAAGAAAACCCTTATGAACAATACAGAGAGAATAATACATCAAACAAACTCGACTCGCATATAATCCAGTCTGAGCTGGGGCTCGAACCAGGATTACAGCAGTGATAGGCGAGCGGCTAAACCACTCCACCCACTAGAATAACTACAATGGAATCCATACTCATTGAAAGAAGCCAATACCATTTCAGGGCACAAAAAATGGTCGGTCAGACGGTCATTATTACTGGCCAAGTTAGTTTTAGCTCATCCCTTGTTAGTTTAAGCTCATACCTCATTTCTGGCTAAACGTTATTAGTCACAATGACCTATAAAGCAAATATTTGACCTGACAAGGTTCCATATCTGGCTGGACATTGTCCAATGATTGGCCTTTGTTTAAAGTTTCAAAATGATCAATTTTCTGACCTGCTCTTTTTTTGCCTGGATTAAAAGACCTTTCATAGGGAAGTAAAATATAACTTTCCTTTTCCAAATATTTTTTCCTTAAAAAGATATTGGAGTTTAAAAATGGCGGCCATTTTTCTCAATGTCATATTCTCAATGCTAGAGCTTAAGATTATGATGAGCTGTATCTCGGCCTAATTTCAATCAAAATCAACCAAATTTGCTAGTATGCTAGTACTCTAGCTGTTCTTCAAAAGTACTAAAGAGATGTTGCCATATCAACAGCCTCAGTTCCAGGCCACCCCTACCTAAAATTCAGGTTTTTCACATTTCTAATAAGAAATGGCATTGAATAAGGCTAGGTTAAAATGTCTGTTATGGTCGTAGACAATCATTTAGTCAAACAATTTTCTGAATCAGGCATTTACATAAAATGAAATTACCCTATATACCATCCAAAAAACTTAGCCGCCATCTGCAATGAGTGCAGTTTAAATATTTTAGTTGATAAACTTCCCAGTCTTAATTGGTGCATTGTTATCCAATTTCAAAACACGCCATTCCCTTGAGAACAAGATTCTTTGTTTGCGTTGTATCCATATTCAAGTTTCTTCAGCCTTTGTGAAACAAAGAAATGATACTAAGAGGAATGACACGTGGTCTGAAATGGGTAAACATTGCATGAAGACTGTTCTTCAGTAATGACCAAGAGATATCAAGCTGTCAGCATAAAAATAATTTATTAAAATCTCCATGCATCATTTTGGATGGAGAGGGATTAATTTGAAGAATAACTATGATACAGCTTTTTCAACCAGTAAAAAAATTCCACTGTTTTACAGAGAAGGAAAAAATAATACATTTTAATTAGTCAAATGCAACTAGTGGTCTATCATCAATGCAGCTGTATTCTGATTGGATGAGCTACTACTAGGCTATAAGTTATAGCCTACTAGTATTAAAAAAATGCTAGCTTTGAAAAGCAATACTTTAAATTAATTTTAACTTTAAAGACCCATTGCCACTTACCGTGATGCACCGCGCTCACAGATGAATTTCGTGGTCCATGAAATTCAAAGATTCATGTATTGAATAATAACTTCATATTAATTATACAGCTTCTCATTAATCCCATACGGCCTACGGCCTCATCCAATTTTGGAAGTCCTCAGAATTTTCCTCATCCAATTATTTCTTAATTGGACAGCATGGAGTCCTATTACATATACTAAATCCTTTTCCGACATAGTACTAAGGCACAAAAATGATTCTTTTACATTCTTTTAAGAGTTTATTCAAAAGATTAGAATTGTTCTTTCAGTGGTGACACGATTCAAAATGTAAACAAATTGTGATGCATCACGGTAAGTGGCAATGGTTCTTTAATTCAAAATTCATTATGGCCAATAAGTCAATAGCCCATTTGACATTTTATGTTTGACTAATTAAGCCTATTTGGGCTCGAGGACTAATTGCTTATCATATAGCGCTGCTACACATAATACTCTGGGACTACGCATTTATGACATTTTTTGCAACGATCACACATTACCACATAATTTCACTATTTACAACACTCAACTAACGCTGATTTTTACTAAAGGGAAACCAGAGAGTCAGGAGGACAACCCTTGTGACAAAGGAGAGAACACATCAATATAAATTGACTTGCATGTAGGTATACAATGTAGGCAAGAATGAAACCAGTGACCCCAGGCACGAGCTTTACAGTGTCCCACTCATGCCCATGTGAAAGTGAAAACAACAGAAGTTCGGTTGAAACACTTGCAACTTGCTGATTAAGCAATTTTAAGTCTTTCAACACTTTGAACAACTTTCCCCATGTTTGATTCTAATGCACAATACTCATCCATCAATGATGTCAAAGATTCTACACTATTATCAAACTGTCCAGCGTCCAAGCCGCCTATGTTAGTATAATGATGAATGTGCGCTTTCCTTTTGTAAAGTTTCATAAAACGATCTCTTAGGTCTTTGAATGTATGCCTGATACAGGAGTTATTTGCCAGAGTCAAGAGAGAATAGGGATGGCCAACTGGGGGTACAGAACACAGGCCGGTTTTCCATCCCTCCTGATTCCAGTAGATAAAATTCAAGGATGGTTTTAATCTGTCGATATTTCTCCTGATGTCAGAGACTTCRACGTTTCCTCTGACGATCAAAGCACAAGCCAAGTAAAGACTGTGTTTCGGATCTGCCTTAATTAACTGGTGCTCCTTAGAGAATGCATCGGTAAACATTTGGTCGAGCCTCCTCRGAGGTAGGTTAACATCTGTCAAAGCATACAATGGTGTCTGACTGGACACAAGGTAGTGAAGTCTTGGAAATGGTACTAAGTTCATTGTGATCTCATTCAAGTCCACATTGAGTGATCCCTCAAACCTTGCCGAACTGGTCATATTGAGAATGAGATTTGCTACAATGTTATTCATTGAATCGAAAGGTTTGTCAGGCCCTTTGGATACTCCACCATCACCACATGTTATGGCACTCTTTGCTTTTGCCGTCTTTTGTCCATCTACGATGACGACTTTTTTACCTGATTTGGATGGTGGTAGAGCACTCTGTACCTTGTTGCAGATATCAACCAAAGCCTTGATTATAAAAGACAAGGGGAAATGCACTTATTACTTTACTAATATCAAGGTGCTCTCTTTATTTTTATTGGTCTCTTTGGCACAATTGCTTGATTCAAGTTAAAATGAGGTACCAAAAGATACAAACCTGGTTCTCCACAGGAAGAACACAGTCAGAATGTTCAGTCAATTGATGCATAGCCAGCACACTGAAAACAAATAAGGAAATTAATTAATTAGTTAATAAATTAATTAGTTAATTAATAAAAAATCAATGATTAACGATAAAAGGGTAAATTTTACACCGTGAAAAGATAAAAAACTTACTGAYGTTTYGGACAATAGTCCTTCATTGGAGTGAAAGAGGACGAAGGACTAGTGTCRAAAACGCCAGTAAGTCATTAGAAACACCGACACAGCTGCTCACACTAGTTTTTAGCTAGTTATCTCTAATTGATGAATGGATTGATTGATTGATTGATTAGAAAGTGAAGGGCAAAATGATGCAAAAAGTGGATGGGTCACCTTTTTTGTGCAGGGAGAAAAGGGGTGCCATTTACATTTATGAAACTAAAAGTGTGTCTGTGCATGTAGGCTTGTATCAGATGGGGGGGGGGGGGGGGGGGG